ACCACTTGAATGCCGGCAGCTCACAAAGTAGGAGTTTTGCTCGCGAGACTCCACAGCTGAGAGGGAACACTGGACCACAGCCCTCCCTGCTTCTCCAGGGGCAGCCCAGAGCCTTGTCCCGGAGGGCCTGGAAACCCCCCCTTCCAGCAGAGAGCACCTCTTGAGCAGCTGCCTCCTCGCACCCAGGCATCCGCAGGGCTGGGAAATTCCTGGAGACTTGGGGGTGGAGCCGGGAGGGGAGAGGGGGAGGAGCTGGGAGGGAGATCAGCAGGGGTGTGAGCCCCCCCCCCCGCTTCCCTCCCCTCCAAGGGAACCGCTCAATCTCTTGGGGTGACAGGGGGGCTCCAGGCTGCACCCAGCAGTGGGCAGTCTTATGCAGACGAGATTTTGCAGAAGCCGTAAAGAGAGCTTAAAATGACTTCCTTGTGCTCCTTCTTGTGCCCACAGAGAGGAGGGCCTTTGAACTCACCCGATGAGCTGAAGGGACCCGGCTGTCCTTCTTCTGCGCTGGGAGTCACCAGGCCTCGTGGCAGAAATGAGCTCGCTGGGGGACAAGAACTCTGTTTCGGATAAAGGGAGCAGACCCAGCCGGAGAAAGCCAAACAGCATTCATCTCCCAAGTTACAAGGGAGCCGTTACCGGCTAACTATCAGGAGAAACTTCCTGACTGTCAGAGTGGCTGAGCAGTGGAACAGACTGCCTCGGGAGGGGGTGGAGGCTCCTTCTCTGGACGTTTTCAAGCAGAGGCTGGATGACCATCTTTCGGGTATGTTGAAGATATGTAGGGCTATCTTTTGACTATGCTCCTGCAGAGTGCAGGGGGTTGGACTAGATGACCTGCAAGGTCCCTTCCAACTTAACATTCTATGATTCTTCTGGCTAAATATCAGGAGAAACTTCCTAACTGTAAGAGTGGCTGAGCTGTGGAACAGACTGCTCGGGAGGTGGTGGATGCTCCTTCTCTGGACGTTTTCGAGCAGAGGCTGGACGACCATCCTTTGGGTATGTTGTAGGTATGTAAGGCTATCTTTCGGCTATGGCTATGCTCCTGCAGAGTGCAGGGGGTTGGACTAGATGACCTGCAAGGTCCCTTCCAGCTCTAACATTCTATGATTCTATAAGTATATTTGCCAACTCTGAGCACTCCATTTGAGTTCCTGTAAAAAGGCGGGGGCAAAGAGGGGTTTGCATGTTCACGGCAACAGTCCTGAGAAAGTCTCCTCTGAGAAAGAGCCAGACTCCTGACTCCCACTCCAAATGGTTCAAGTTTGAGCACATGTCAAGTACAGGCCTCTCCCTAGAGGAAACTGTGCCCCTGAAACCCAGACGAGAGCAACCATCTCCCTGGGGAAATGCAGTAACTGATGAACGATCAGTATCCACTCTCTGCCGTGACAAGAAGATACTGCCCATCTCAGGGTGGGGCCAGAGTGTTAAATCAGTCACTTCCCCTTCCCCGTCTGAGAGCCCCCCCCCTCCCCAGCCGCTCGCCACCTTGCCACACAGGGTGCCGGGCAGCATCTTTCTGATCAGGCGCTGCTCCGAAACACAGAGAGAGATCCCCGGCTGCGCTTTCCCGTGCTGTCCCATTGACACCCCCAAACACATCGATGCCTGAAGCCACGGCTGGGGGGGGGGCTGCAAAGCACGATTAACCCTTGCAAGAAACTGAAGGAAATTCGGCCCGTGACACCGCTTCCTCCCCAGCCCAAAGTGTATCCGGTTGGCGAGTCAAAAGAAATAGTCACGACATGGGAAAGAGGTGACAGAAAGGGGGGGGGGCGTTGTTTCTTGGAACAGAAATTTTCTTTTCTTTGGGGGGCCTAGAGAGAGAGAAAAACCAGGCATTTAATGTCTAATTAGGAAAAAAATAAGCTACGGAATTGGAGTACGACTGGTAATAGTCCTCCGACGACCGCGGCAGCCGAGACGGCCTATTTCAAGGTTGAGTTGCCGGGAATGTAATTGTGAGGCTAAAATGAAAATGAAATTGGAGTTATCAAGAGATCAGATTTGGGACGGGATTAACTGGCTGATAAAAACCCTCACGTGCCAAAGCTGGAATCTACCTCCGGGCTGGTTCAAAGGCTTCTGCCCTCCTAGACAAGGAACACTCCCTCCCCCAGCCCTCTCCCACTGCCCAATCGCGCCAAGCCAAGCCTCCATGGCATTGCGGCAAGTGCTCGGTTCAGACCCGGGTGGCAGCAGTGCGGGCAAGGAAGGATTGCCAGTCTCTCACACACACACACCCTCTGATGGCATCAGCAGCACCCTCCCCACTGCGTTGCCCTGAGCAGTCACTTGGCTTTTTTTCTTCCCCTTTCCCCCCTTCACTCCCCACCCTGCATCCTCCCCAGCTGAGTCCAAACCTCACCCAAGCTCCTTGGCCTCCATCTTGCCTGCTCAAAATCTTCATCCAGGCATCCCAGACATCATGTAAGAACTCCCCAGCGGGCATTCCCCACAATCCAACACTTTCCTTGCCTCCCAGTCTCTCTGGACAGACCAGGGCATCTCCCCAAAGACTTACCGGCACACCTCACAGAGTCATAGTGGGTACTGGGAGGAAAAGTGCCGACTGCCGGTTTGACTATATTTACACTGCTGCTGCTTGGAGATATTTATGATGTTTTATTGGACTTGCATAGGAATTACGACTGGAGTACTGGAGATCTATAAGACACGGGAGAGCATATAAACAAAGAGTAACGGCAAAAAAGATTTGTACTCACTTGGACACTGGAGGCTGCTGTGGAGTTTGGGGAGGCAGGAAACGCAGGGAGGTTCTTGTTAATCTCCTTGGAACCATTTCAGCTTCCTGGGAAATTCCTCAACATTCTGCCAGCGAGAGAACCTCCCAGAGTCTCTCCGAATTTTGCTCAAGCAAAAAAGCCAGCCACAACCAACAGACGACGCCAAAAAATGCTGTATGATCAAAGGTCCTGCTGCTTCCCTCAAAATCACACCCGGATCCACTCCTCATTTTGGCTTGAGACAAAATTTCGGCAGTCCATTTAGAAATAAACAGATGCAACATCTATAAGTTAGGACGATGGCTTGATTAAAAGAAATTTTCATCAACCATATAGGTTGTAATCAGTTAAATAATCCATTAAACTTGTCAAAGTTTGAACATGAGTAAAACACAGATCCAGGGAAAACAGCATTTGTTCTGTTTTTATACTAACATCACATAGTAGACACCACTGCAGAAGGGAAACTCCCCCCCCCCGCCCCCATCACCCCTGGGCTTGTAAGTACTTGTCCTAAAATCAGAACCACCCGTTCTCCTTTCCAATCAGGAAACCTACTATGCAATCAGGGCACTTCCTTCATAAATCAAGAACAGTAGAAAAGTAAATAGACAACTGTACATTTTCACTTTTAGCTCCACAACAAAAGGCAAGAGTTGTGCTTTTTCAAAAAAGGATGGAAGCTGGGAAGTTGTACATTAATGCAACGGGTCGTTATACCGGTGCAATCTAGTAAGACCTGAATTCTTACAAAAGCCCTCTCGTGTGTGAGAGGGGGGGAAATGGCAGTCACAGGGGGCAGGGAAGGAAAAATGTGGAAAAACCTACCCTGTAGAAGGCTTGTTGCCACTGTGCCGAATCGTAGAGTTTAAAAGTTGGGCCTAAAGACCACCCAGTCCAACCCCTCGAACCATGCAGGAGGACCTAAAGTATCCTTGAGGAAGAAATGTCCGGACTCTGCTTAAACACCTTCAAGGAGGGAGAACCCATAATGTCGCTGGCCAACCGATTCCACCACTGAACTGCCCCAATGTTAAAAAGCTTTCCCAATATCCCATTGATATCCCCAGCAGCCACAGAAGCAATGGAGGAAGAGGGGGAGAAGAAGAGCTGGTTTTTATACTCCGCTTTTTTCTACTGTTCTCAGCTTACAGTTGCCTTCCCTTCTCTCCCCACAACAGACACCCTGTGAGGTAGGTGGGGCTGAGAGAGCTCTTTTGAGGACTGCTCCTGAGAGAACAGCTCTGAAAGAACTCGTGACTGACCCAAGGTCACCCAGCTAGCGGCACGGGGAGGAGGAGTGGGGAATCAAACCCGGTTCTCCCAGATTAGAGTCCGCTACTCTTAACCACTGCACCACGCTGACTCTCAAGCACAGGAAAGAGCGTGGAAAGCCTGAGGGTATCCAAAGGTCAACCAGAACACAATCCCTGTGCCGGGGTTCATTGTCCCTCTTTGCGCTCCCCCACCCCTCCTGTAGACTGAGCCCTTCCCGCGACTGCTCCGATGGGTCTCCTCTTCCTCCACCCATGTCTCATCTTCTCCCTTCTCGGAGGGTGATGGCTGACTTGTCCACACCCAGCGTTTGCTTCAGAACTTTTTCTGCAATCTAGTGACATGGGAAAAAAATCCCTCCTGTGCTTAGCTTGCAGGATTCTAACCCAAGCCCTGTGGGATCGGAGGCACCAGCTGCCAAAGAGGCCGTGAGGCTGTTCTTTTTACTGCCTTTATTTCTGCATCTGAAGATGCACCGATATATACAGATTTTTTTATTTATACAATGTAATAATGTACAGAGTTCTCAATATTATATTATTGTATATATATATATATATATGTACGTATGTATATATTCACACATGGATACACAAATGCTCATGCCCCCTTCTGGAGAGAAAAAAAGAAAGTCATTTGTGAAAAAATTCTGGTGACTCCAAATCCGGCAGGGAGTGCACCGATTCCTATGCCAACTGGAAAGTCTTTTAAAACCACAACCTTGCGGGAGGGAAAAAAAAGGCTACCCAAACACGAGATCTTGGATTTGAAAAACGAGTCCTTAGAGAAGAGAGTACACCCCGGGGGGCAGGGGGGCGGGGTGTGTGTGTAAAAGCCTGCACACCACTTGGGCAGAGCAGGTGACCATTTCCCCAAAGATCTTTGGGATAGCCAGAAAGTACAGTGCAACCGCTCT